TCCGCCGAGCTGCCCATTTCTCCGGTGGTAGCTCGCCAGATTCCAGAAAGCGTTGTATCTCGACTCGCCAATCTGCTGCTGGCTGGTCGTCGAGAACGGTTTCGTCTTCAGCGACTGTGATTTGAAGAACTTCCTGGAGCGGGACTATGCTGGGCTGGGATATTCCTTGAACTGGAATATTTCTCTGAAGGGCTGAATCTCTATTTGATGCTATAGCAGCTAGGGCATCTGCATTGGTGTTGGCAGATCGGTCGATCTGATGTAGTTCGAAGGTTGTGAACTTCGCTGCTAACTGCTTTACTAACTTCAGGTATGCATCCATTCGATCGTCTTTCGTGTCATACTCTCCGCTGAACTGCTTAGCGACGAGCTGCGAATCGCTAAATGCCCAGATGTGTTGGATGTTCATCCCCCGGGTTAGCGGGAGACCTCCGATCAGCGCTTCGTACTCGGCTGCGTTGTTGGATGCATTAAACTCCAAACAGAAGCACTGCTCGAGAAGTTCTCCGGTGGGAGATTCCAACAGAATGCCGATACCAGCTCCTAAGCGTGATGATGCTCTGTCGACGTTTAGTGACCATATTTCTGAATTTGACGGGTCGGCGCTCAAGGGCTCCGGTGATAGTTCGATCAAAAAATCCGCCAAAACTTGAGATTTCGCGGAAGTCCGCGTTCGATACTTGATGTCGAACTCGGAAAGCTTGATTGCCCACTTCGCCATACGGCCGGATTGCGTCAGGCTGTGTAGGATCAAAAGAAAAGGTTGGCTGGTCATGACGGCAATGGAATGAGATTGGAAATAAGGTCGCAGCTTTCTGGAAGCGACGACCACAGCAAGAGCGAGTTTTTCTAAGGTCAGGTAGCGAGTTTCAGCACCATCCAAAGTTTTGCTGAAGTAGAAGATCGGCTTCAGCTCCCCACGGTCCTCTCGAACCAGGACTCCGCTGATTGCCGTGATGGAGACCGCAATGTAGAGTAGCAGAGTGTCGCCATACTCAGGTTTGGCCAGGATCGGCGGTGTTGAGAGGTAGGTTTTGAGCTGCAGGAACGCATCTTCACATTTTTGATCCCACTCGAACCGCTTGTTGCTCCGTATAAGTTGGTAGAAGGGGAGATACTTGTCTGTTGATAGAGATATGAATCTGTTTAGCGCAGCAATCCTTCCTGTTAGGCGCTGAATTTCGCGGGTGTTAGCTGGTGAGGGTAGCTCCAAGATCGCGGAGATCTGCTTAGGATTGGCTTCGATGCCACGCTGAGTGACCAGGTATCCTAGGAATTCGCCGGATGTGACTGCGAATGTGCATTTTACGGGATTAAGTTTCATGTCATACTGGTTCGGTATGAGAAAACATTCTCGCAGATGGATGATATGGTCGGCTGCTTTAGCCGATTTGACGAGCATATCGTCTATATACACCTCCATCGTCTTCCCAAGCTGGTCGGCGAACATCTTGTTGACAAGGCGCTGGTAAGTGGCTCCAGCGTTTTTCAAACCAAACAGCATGACCTTGTAGCAGTAGGTGCCCCGATCTGTGATGAATGCGGTCTTCTCGCTGTCGTCCGGATTCATGAGAATCTGATTATATCCTGAGAATGCATCCATAAAGGAGAGTAGCTCGTTGCCCGCCGTAGCCTTGATGAGCTGATCGATACGAGGAAGAGGGAAACTGTCCTTCGGGCAAGCTTTGTTGAGATCAGTGAAATCCACGCAGACTCGCCACTTGCCGTTTTTCTTCTTGACGACCACCGGGTTGGCGAGCCAATCCGGATACTTTACTTTGGCGATTAATCTGGCCTTCAGGAGCTTATCTACTTCATCGTGTACGGCTTGTGCTCGCTCAGGTCCTAACTTCCGTTGCTTCTGCTTGATCGGCTTGAAAGTCGGGTCGACGTTCAACTCGTGACTCGTTATTCGAGGGTTAATGCCCTTCATGTTGGCCATTGACCACGCAAACGTTGCGACGTTCTCTCGGAGAAAACTGATCAGTTCGTCTTGCATTCTAGGCAACAGTTCCGTACCGATATCGACGCAACGTTCCGGGTGGGCAGCATCGATGTTGACTTGGGCGATAAGATCGCTCTTCGGCTGCTCGTCGTGATGAACAATTCGTGGATCGAAGTCGCTGCTACTGCCGATCACAAACGTCGATGCTTTCCGGACGCGCTTGTTGTCGATGTAACAATGTCGGGACACTGTCTGATTACCACAGATGGTGATGACACGGCCCCGGATTGGTATTTTCATGCATTGGTGGTAAGGAGAAGGGACGGCCCGCATGGCGTTCAGCCATGGTATTCCAAGGATGGCATTGTAGATCGCAGGTCGGTCGATAACCATGAACTTGACCGTAATTGACTTCCCACGTATGGTGACAGGCATCGTTATAGTTCCTATCGTCGAGATCGAGTCTCCAGCGAATCCAGTGAGGGGGTGATGGTGCGACTTTGATATCCCGCTCGGGAATACTCATCTTGCGTAGAGTATCCATGAAGATGAGGTTAACCGAACTTTCAGTGTCGATCAATACTTTGGAGACGTCGTCTTCTCTGAGCCATAGTGAGATGACAAGCGGATCGTTATGAGGTCGGTCGATATCTTGCGCGTCTTGCTCTGTGAATGTGATCGGTAGCTCGTCCTTGAACAGTGGTGGGGCGTCCTTCGGGGGGTTGGCTGCTTTCTGTTCGTGCTGTTTAATCGAATTGATCGAGTCGGTGCACGAGAGGAGCCCTCCCATGATCATGTTGATCCTCCGACGTGGTGAGCTCGGAGGTGTGTGATCGTCTTCACGGTCACGCTTTGCTTCCTTGCCTTCGCGTTTAGAAGATGGGCGATCGGTGTTATCTCTCCTATCACGATCGTCATTGGCTCTTCTATCTCGATCGCCATCGGGTCGCCTGTCCTCATCGTCGGATCGTCGTGAACTCTGGGGTTCTGGTAGGGTGATCTCACCTTCATCCCACACCATCCTCAAGAGGGCTGGGAGGGTGTGGCAATCATCGGTATGATGACCATGTGCTCTATGGTATTTGCACCACGGCTTCTTGCTGTCGGGGTCTCTGTCGCTCGAGCGGTCCCATATGTTCCATGGCTTTTTTGGTCGTCCAACTGCGTTGATACTCTTGCGATTCTTGTCATCCTTGTCGTAGTGCTGACGGGGCTCTTTGTAATCGTCCTGACTCGACGATCTGTCTTTCTTATCGCGCGAAGACTTCTCATCGGCCAATTTGGCCTTTGCCTTGGCTGCCTGATCCTCCTCGACTCTGATGTAGCCGTATGCCTTGTGAAAAGCATCTTCGAAGGTCTTGGTTTTACCTGTCTTCAATCGCTCACAGTATGACGAATCATCCCTCAAATTCTTGATAAGGATGTTGAAACATAGTTCGTCCGACAGACTGCACCGGGAGACGATCGATCGGAACCGATCGATAAAATCACGCAGCGGCTCCGTGTCGCCCTGGACGCACGCCCATAGATCGAGCGTTGTGGACTCCGTGTCGATGTAAATCGAATAATGCTTCAGGAACCGAGCTGTGAGCTCTTTGAAGCTATCGATGGAGTTCTTGGGAAGCTGCGAGAACCAGGTGAGGGCGCTTCCGGAGAGCATCTCCACGAAGTACTGACAGAGGCATGCTTCCCGCTTCCCGTCCCATGACTGCGTTGAACGCGGTCAGGTGTCGCTTCGGGTCTGTCGTACCGGTGTAGTTTGGAGGTAGCTTCATCCGGCCTATTTCCTTGAGAGGAGCGCTGGTGATGGCCGACGTGAACGGGGTCTGCTGGGTCTCCTGGAGGATCTTATCCAACTCTGGTGCTGAGGTCGTTGCCTTGTGGATCTTGCCGTGGATATCATCAAGGCGTTGGTGGAGAAGATCAAGCTCTGAGGCCGTCGTCGGGTCGGTACCTGCGGTATTGCGCGATGAACGAGCGTTCGAGCCTTCTGCCTGTGTTGTCTGCAGGTCGTCTGTCGGTGTTGTACCGAACAGGTTGTTGACTAGCCTGGTCGTATCTGTGTTGCGGATCGGAGGGCGAGGAGGGGTGATTAGATCGGCCTGCTCTTGGGTATGAACTCTAGAGTTGAGAAAACGATCTAGGTCTTCTCTGTAGGCGATCTGCTCGGCACGGAGGGATTCGAAGCGAGCATCCATCCCCTGCTGCAACTGTGCTGCGACCGACCTGATGATGGTGGCCATGTCGATGGGAGGTGGCTGTGGCAGGCCGGTCGTGTTTGTGCCACCCGTCTGACCGACCTGATCTGTCCCTCCGATGTTCTGTGCGGTAGTTGTGTTGTCTTCCTGATCGGTCTGGTGGGCCACCGGAAGCCCGATGGCTGGTCGACGATCGGATCCTGGGTGTTTCTTGTCGGATCGGAGGCTCTTCCTGTGAGGTCGGTAGTGTTGATCGGTGTTTCAACCATCTTCGAGCTTCGTTTTAAGTCAAAGAATGTTCACATATTCTCCTCAGACGGCGCCAACTGTAAAAACTCAAGTTCGACTTATAGAAGAACTAGGGTTTGAGGGTTTAAGGAGAGATCTTTTATTAGAAGAAGCCGGAGTTTGATAGAATACAACAGTGTTTAGGTCGTCGGAATAAAAACGCCGACCTAAACTCAGGGAAAGTAAATCAAAAACTAGAACAATCTGATTGCTTAGTTTGCTCTAGGTCTTGATCAATGATTTTCGGATGATCTGAGGAGTCGGAGACTTCCTATATTTATAATTGACCTGGTCGGTCTTCAATGTGTTAAGAATAGGAAAGTCTTCTTGTCGACAAGAAAGAGTTTTCTTTTCCAGGTCGCTCGATAAATGGAAAATTATATTTACATCGCCGACCTGAAACTTGTTAGACGGGCCGACCAGAATTCATATCGGACTTGTTGGAGATGGTACAAATCTCATCTCTAACAGGTACATCACAGACTTTAGCTTTGAAACAAGATCAATGTGGAAATAAGTATATCAGACGAGGGTGGGGATGTTTCTGTCATGCCAATGGCATTGAAGCTGGAGGCTTCTACACTTTCAAACTGATCCAAAGAGGAACAACTCCGGTTCTTAGTTTGTCCTCCCCGCAGAGTCAGAGAACTCAGAAGAAGAGAGCTCAGAACGGGAAAGTAATAAAGAGAGAAACCTCGGTGAGTCGTGTTCTGTATCTCTATGATTATTGACTATAATACATAAACAGACGTAAGCTCAAGTAACAAAGCTTAATCTGTAAGTAGAATCAGTAATGACTGTTACATTCATTACCACTTGAACTGATTTTCTTCTTTTCCAGAGGGAATGCTGAGGAAGAAGAAAGTGAAGAAGAGTCCTTAAGCTCTGCTCTAAGGTGGAGCAAGAGACCAAATGAATCTGTTTTCGAGTATAACGTTTTAGCTTTTGTACGTGCCCAAGACGAATTGAGATGAATCAATGTTTGGGGATTTTTTCTTCTTTTGTTTGTAAGTTTTAACAATGGTTGGCTTAACTCAAAAGATTCGAGTGCGGGATTAATTTGCGAGTGTTAAAAATTAACTTTAGTTGAAACCACTGTGATTTCAAGAAATCTCAACATCCACAAAATAGAGAGACGTGAGTTGTGCATAGTCACTAGTAAATGGGACCCTCTATTTCAGTCGGAAGCTTACCCTGACTGTTTTGACAATAGAGAAAATGGAGTCGAAGACGACGGCTTTATTACATTTCCCTTCTCTGTGATTTTAGCGTTCTAAACTACTAATTCAAGGGGTTGGTGCATGGAATGTTTCTCCCCTGTTTGGTACGAAATTGTGCTTCGATTCGATTAGGCTCCGATTGGTAGCAAATAAAATTGCGTAATCACTGAAAACAATTAAACTGCAGAATGATTTAATAAATAAATTGCAGAATATATTTTTATGATGTGATTGGAAAAATTATACAAAATGATGGATTATAACTATTAAAAATTAAGTTTTTATTATAATATATTTTCTATTTATTTAATATCATAAAAATTAAAATATTAATTATTATAAGAAAATGACACAACTGCAATATAATTTAAAAATATTTAACTTTTATTTTAATAATTTTTCAGTTTGTTATTAATATAAATTACATAAAATCTAAAAATATATTCAAATCACATATATAATCTTATCATTATATAAATATTTGTAGTATAAAAATATTCATTTGTATTTATTTAAATAATAAAATATACTTAATTGTATAATTAAATAATATAAAATATTAATTCTGCAAATAACCTATTTGAAACATATTTTTTCACTTAACAATTTGTTTTTTTTTGTATTTTTGTAAGTAAAAATATAATTCTGCAAATTTTGCATTTTTACGTTTTTTGTAAAAAATTTTGGTTGGCAAAATACTTGCGGAATCACATTTGAAATACAATTCTGCAAATTTTACATTTTGATATTTTTCTGATTAGCAAAATATCTGTGAATCGCATTTGAAACATGATTCTATCATTCTATATAGTTAGCAATCATAACCTATATTTTTATTCTATATTTTCAATATTTCTTGGCAAAAAAAATTGTTTTGCAAAAAGATTCTTTTCCAAAACCTCCGAAGTTTATTTTATCTAACTAATTTGTTTTGCAAAATAATTGTTTTACATTTTTGCAAATAAATTTTTATTTAATAATCATCCGCCTGTAAATTTAATAAGACGGAATATTTTTTTATAAGATAACAAGGCGGAACTTATAGCTAAAGAACCAAATTCTAAAAGATAAATATACTATTACATGCCATCAATAATTAATTCTACAACAACAACTAAAGCGAAAACTTAGTTGTTAACTACACTATAACACTTTAGATTTCAGTTTGCAAAAAGTAGTTTGGCATCTTAAACAGCTGTGTGGGTGTATGATTAAGTCGGCGTCCTAAGTTAGAACTAAGTCAAACATCTTTCTATAAGAAAAGTTAAGTATCAGCCATCCATCTAATCTAAAGTTTCTGTAATAATTCATTTATATAAAAGCAACTAGAAGTAAAAAATCTACTCAAAAATTGATAGTTTCAACAAAAATTTAGTTATAAATTTAGGAAAGGAACCTTACAAATATATAAATTGTTTTCAAAATTCGAATCTGTTTTGTTACAGTTTCAAAAAGGGAATAATTTTTAGCTTTTTTTTTTTGCTATTTTCATTCAAGTAAATGAATATGAACACAAATAAGTTGTTCACAAGATCAGTTATTTGCACAAGGTTTGCATTTGCATATCAAATTAATGATAGGAGTTGAAACATGTTCATAATAAGAATACTATTTATTGATTTAGGAGGAAGTTCTACATGCTATGATTGGTGGAGTTAATGGCCGTCTTTGACTATTATGATAATCTGTTCCCATATTCTTAAAATATGATTCTCTTGCTTTTGAAATTTGTTGGCAAATCCGATTTAATCTAATCCTATGCGATTAATCTTATTTCAAACACCATTTCCTTGCAAAACTGTCATTCTTTGTAAACGAACCTCGTGTGTTGCACGTGACTTCCGCTTAGTCACTTGTGAATGAAATCCTCCTTTTCAGCCAGAAGCTCTTCCACAGTTAAAAGTGTAATCTTTGTTCTTATCGAATTTGGGAATGAGATTTCGATTCTCTACTTTCCAAATCATGTTCTTGTAGTCTCAGTTCGGATCAGTTTTTAAATAGACTTTACGAGATTTGGGGCTTCTGAAGATTATGAGAATGGGCAAGAAACATTTCTTCCAGCCTCTTCTTCCCGACTTCCACAACCACTTGGTACTCTCTCTTTCTCCCATTTTTCTATAATTGTCTCAATTAAGAAGGATGGGCCTAATTCGGTATTTGCATGTTAATGCTTCAGATTCTTCTCAAAGTATGTAGAAGGAAGAAATGAGCAAAAGACTACGGCGAAGCTGATATCAGATGCGTCGGAGATTACCTGGGAAGTGAAGATAGAAGATGGCCGGAGACTCACTGATGGTTGGAAAGAGTTCGCTCTCGCACATGATCTTCGAATCGGTGACATTGTCATTTTCAGACAAGAGCAAGACATGGCTTTCCACGTCACACTGTTCGGACCCAGTTGCTGTGAGATTCAGTATAATTCGTGTTTAGACGAGGAGAACAACCTCAGTGAGTGTGTGTTCTGTCTCTTTAAGGAATGTGCTGGTTTAAACTGTAATTTTGAAGCAAATTTTGGAATATGGATCAGATTCAGTTTAACTATGTAGTTGTGAGATTGATTTTTCTTCTTCTTCTTTTTTGCAGATAAGTTTCCAAAGAAGAAGAATCCAAAACCAGAAGCAGAGTCTTCTTCTTGTTTTGTGGCTAATGGCTCGCCTTCGTCTCTACACGGTGACAGACTGGTATTACTACTCTTAATTGGATCAAAAGAAAAATCATTTCTGAATTAAAATCAAAATCATGATGTATTGTAATGAATTTTCCAGAATCTTCCAAGTAGTTTTGCGAGAGTAAATGGTCTAGACGCAAGATGTGGAGAGATTGTTCTGATGAATGAAAAGGGTGAATCATGGAGTTTAGCTCTAAGACAAAGGCAACCTGGAACTACTTACATCGGACGAGGTTGGAGAAGTTTCTGTAGTGACAATGGTCTAAAGGCTGGAGATTTATTCACTTTCAAACTGATTCAAAAAGGAGCAACTCTGGTTCTACTTAAGTCTACAGAACCCGAAGAAGAAGAGTGCTCAGAAGCTGATGAAATAGAGTCTCTTTCCACAAATTCCGACAGCGAAGAAGACAACCAAGATGAGAAAAAAAGCTTCAAGAAGCCTAGATCGTCATGGATAGCTTCACCCTCATCATACCGAAACCGATTTGTGACATTAACTCATAGACCTTATAACGTCGAACGGTCTTTTCTGGTCAGTTTCATCACTCAAAAGCCATTGTCTTTTTTTAACATTCTATTGAGCTTGAATCATTTTTCTTTTGAATCTTTCTTGCAGTTTCTTCCGGTACCCTTCACGAAGATGCATGGCATTACTGTGGAAACTAAAATGAGTCTGTTGGATAAACATGGTGTGAAGTAGTCTACGAAACTTAGTTCTGAGGGTAGAAAGATAAAAATGAGAAGAGGATGGAAAGAGTTCTTCATAGCTAACGGTGTGAAGTTGGGTGAATCGGTATTGTTGAAGCTGATTTGGGATGGAGATGCAAGCTGTGTTCTTAAGTTCTGTTCCAAGGTGAAGCCATATAACCAAATGTAACTGTTTCTGAGTTTAATGGTTTAGCTTGTGTTAGTGCCAAAGACAAATTTAACAATGTTTTGGTTTTGCTTGTATGTTAATTTTAAGATGTTGTAGGATCCGAGTGTGATTGTTGACGGTATATGGTGTGAGATTTGTGAATGGTTGACACCTTTATTCATGTTTTGAGTCTTCTGTTCAAATGTGAAATCAAACCGGATGAAACCAAACCTTGAACCGTAAATCTAAACCAAACCTTGAACCGTAAATCGGAACGAAGTCGTTTATTCATTTTTCAGAAACAACGTCGTTTCTGTATTATATCCGGAAATTCTAGAAACGACGTTGTTGGTCACACTGTCTCACCGAACCCTAAATCGTTTCATTCTTACACACAAAATCTCTCGCTGAAACGGACAACTAGTCGAATCATTTCGACTCGATCCTTGATTTCGTCACCAGTCTTTCGATTACGATATGTATTGATCTCCTCACATCATTGAAATCGGAACTCAGAGTGGTATTGCTCGAGTCGCCTCGAAATGTACAATATTTTTTTCCACACCTATATATGAGTAGACTTGATTTAACAGAAGGAGAAAAGAGAAAATGGAGACGAAGAAGACGGTTTTTTACATTTTCTTTGTGATTTTAGGGTTCTAAACTACTTATTCAAGGGTTTGGTCACGGACTCTTTCTCCCCAGATTTTGTTTATGCGATGAACCTTCTCTGGTCATGTTTTTTCGAGTTTGAAACGAGTTGGGATATTTGATACTCTGTTTTTAATATTTGTTTGGCAAATCAGATTTTACTCTGTTCGTATGCGGTTAATCTTTATCTCTTCAAATCAGATTTCATTGCAAAACTGTAATTTTTTTCTTTTAGGTTTCAAAACTCTGTATCAATCAGCAAAAATGGCACAACTTAAAGAGCCCACAATTCCCATGCCAGACTGGTCTCTTCTCCCTAACGAGCTACTTCACATCATCTCAAGGCATGTGGAGGACTGTTTTGATGTTGTACATGCTCGGTCTGTTAGCCGCATGTGGCGATCCGCATTTCCATTTCCTTCTTGCCTATTACCCACAAGTTATTCTCTTCCGGTGTTTGTCCATTTCCCTGGCCAAAGCAGCAAACACTTGTTCACCCTCAAGAAGATCCCGTTGTTCCTTTTCAGAGCCCGAGCTCTTCCTCTTGCTGCTGTTGCATCGCCTTCTGAGTTTTTC